TCCTCCGCCTCCTCCTCCTCCTCGTCCCCCTCCTCCTCCTCGTCTCCTCCTCCTCCTCCTCCCCCATCCTCCTCCCCCTCCTCCTACTCCCCCCTCCTCCTCATTCCCCCTCCTCCGCCTCCTCCTCCCTCCTCCTCCTCCTCCTCCTCCTCCTCCTCCTCCTCCTCCTCCTCCTCCTCCTCCTCCTCCTCCCCCTCCTCCCCCTCCTTTCTCAACCATCCCTTTCCTTTTCTGTCCCCTCGGACGTTGCTTCATGGGGGGTGCGCCGTAAACGGGAGGGGGCGAAGAAGCGCGCAACATTCGTGCACCTGTTGAGCCCTGACTGGGGCCCCTCTGAGGGCCCCGAAGGTGCACGAAATCTGCGAGCTTCTTCGCCTAATCTCACTTATCGCCCCCCTCCATAACGCAACGCCTGAGCCACCTGCCTCGTCGTCCTCGCTGGCTATCACCCTCGCTGTCATCCTCCTTGCTTGCGCTGGAAAAAATATCAGCAATGAGCGCGTGAACGCAGAGAAGAACACATGCGTGTGCAGAGCAACTGGGCGAATAGAAGTGGAACAGAGAAGTAGTCCGCAAAGGCATAGCGCATACGACCACGGCGCCGCAGTGTCAGGGACAAGTAACAGGTACAGAGGTAGGAGGAGGTACACATGGAGAAAAACACGGCCCTCCTCCTCCTCCTCGTCACGTCGCCCTTCTACATCCTCCTGCTCCCTCACAATCCCTCGCCCCTCATCCGAATACCACCACCCCTCTGCCCGCCCCGGCATCCGGCTCTTCAGTTACCCCGGCGTAGGCGGGCGGGCACCGTCGCGTAGTACGTACCACACCAATTTGCGGAATCAGCGTCAGAACGAACGAACCAGATCAAACACGACCTATCACCACCTCAGAGCAGACTGAGAGGAGCCCACCTGCTCGCCCTCCTCGACGCTGCCATCCCCGCGCTGCCCCTCCTCCTCCTCCTGACGATGTCCTCCTCCGCCCTCCTGCAACCTGCTCCCTCACAACCCCTCATCCCCCACCTCAACTCCACCATTCCCCTCCCAACCCTCCTCTCCGTGTGCCGCTGCTCTGCGGCCCCGTGTTCCTAGCTCTCTCTCTCTCTCTCTCTCTCTCTCTTTTCACTCGCTCTCTCTCTCTCTCTCCCTCTCGCTCTCTCTCTCTCTCTCTCTGGTCACGATAACTATGGCGACGACCGCGACGACTACGAATGCTGCGACGATTGCGACTGTCACGACGGTCACAACGACGACCACATGTCGACGACGACTATCTCTACGACTCACATGAACACGACGACCATGGCGATTACAACCACGACGACAACAGTTACGACAAACTAAGCAACGATCACCGCGACCACAAGACAACCACGACGACGATTACAAGGACACTCCGTCCCCCCATCCAACTCCTCCTACTCCTCCTCCTCCTTTTCCTCCTCCTCTTCCTCCTCCTCTTCCTGATATCACTGTTTTTGATACGACTGTTGCCACAACTTCTGCTAGTTACCAATGCCACTACCACAACTCTCGCGGCCCTGCCGGCACCAGAGCACCGCATGAACCCCGCGCGCGTGCGCAAAAACTGCCAAACCCTGCATTTGCGGCAATGACCTGCGAGCGTAGCACCGTGTCTGCGAGCACGGGCACTGAGCCTGTCAACGCCGCGCTAGGCCGCGAACGTAAAAGTAGCCTGCAGGCACCACAGAAGCCTGCGAGCATCAGAATGGCAGCGCCAGAGGCGCACTACAGGAGGGGGGAGCGTTACGTTTTTGGTGTGGGGAGGGAAGGAGGCATACCGCGCGTTATGGCCCAGAGGATTCAAAAAACACGCTCGTAGGTGCAGTGTGCAGTCCTGCCACCAGGAGAAAAAGCACCTGCAAGACCGTAGACCGTCTGGGGTCGGCGCTGAGCCCCCCCCTTTACGCGGCGTGCGGAGCGCACCAGGAGGCGCCGCCAGGGGCCCGCAGCGCCAGACCCGAAAGAGATCGGCGCGACCAGGGCCCCGACCCCCGACGTCATGACTTCTTCATTACGTCGACCCCCCGAGATCTCGTTGGCGGCGCGCACAAGGGGGTAGGGGGAGGGGGGAACGGCTTCTTAGAAGGGGGGCTACTTCTTAGCAGGCGCCAGCCTCACGTCTACAGAAAGGGACCGCGCCTTCTAAGAAGCAGGGATGCTTCTAAGAAGCTTTCCCCCCTCCCCCTATCCCCCTCTGCGCGTGGCCGACATTCCCCGGGACTGGCTTTCGCCCTGAGTCGCCTTTTGACGGTCCCGAGACTCGGGAAGGGCCCCTGGAGGCCGATAAGAGTGGAAAAAACCTCCCGTCGTGCTCTTTTCATGACTCGAGGGGGCCTGAGGAGGAGGACAGAAGGGGACCGAGGACGACTGCGACGACGGTTGCGCAAGGACCGACCGTCGCGGCATTCATGTAGGCCTACCACGAAAAACAAAAAAACAATGTGATTTAACAAAAACGACAGCCTCAGCCAGAACTGCTCTGAGGACGCCGCACACTCTTCGGTGGGCCGATGGGCAAGCCTAGACGCTCCGCCACTGCTCTCCTCCTCCTCCTCCCTCCTCCTCCTCCTCCTCCTCCTCCTCCTCCCCCTCATCCTCCCTCTCCTCCTCCTCCTCCTCGCCCTCCTCCGGCCACTGCTCGCGCTCTGCTGCGGCCCCCCGGGCGGCGCGCCGTCGCACACCGGCAGCCACAGGCCGGCGCGGAGCGCCACGTGCCCGTGCCAGGCGGTGGGCCAGAGCCGCACGTAGCGCGCCACCACGGGCGCCGCGAACTGGACGAGGACCTGCGCCGGGCACCCAGGCGGCGCGGACACGCGGGGGGCGGCCGGTCGGGAGGAGGAAGGTTACCAGCCTCGAACGTATCCCTATCCCTAAGATTGACACGCCAAAAGGCGATGACAATCTTAGGGATTCGCCCTGACAAATTAAGGGAATCCGTAAGATTGCCATCGTGATGAGGAGGTGCCCGGCATAGGGATAGGGATGTGTTCCAGGCTGGTAAGAAGGGGGGCTGGATCGAGCAGGGGAGCGGCTACGACATTGACGAACCCCAGAGTTGATTATCTTGGCGTCGAATTTGCGGACAATATGTTCGAATGCCCCGCAGACCGATGAACCAAATCTGCAACCTCACCGTACATTCGACAAGAGAACCAAGATTTGGGTAGATCAGGTCTGTAGCCGATACCCGATACTCGACTGGAGGCGAGGAAGGCGATGGCCATGACCAAGGCTGAACCCAGACCCCCTGTGAAGCGAGACGAACATCACGATGTGGGGGCTCGGCCTCCTGGGGGCCCTCGCCAAGCCCCAAGGCCGTCAAGAACTGCGTGCGTTGGGCGAAAAATCCGTCCCGAGGGATAGGTCGAGGCCTCAGGTTGTGAAACAAATCATGGCGTCGGGGGTCTGGAACGCGGAAACGTCGTTGTCGACCTTGGTCATCGTCCATCATGGTCAGCGTCACTTCGTGGATCATCCCCGCGAACATGCGACGGCCAGCATGAACCATGACCAAAATCGGCGTCGACAAGATCCCGCGACATCTTGGTCATGGTCAGCATGTCTCTCCCCTCGGCAACTTTGTGCACCTGCTCTCGGAGGTCCGCGCGGTGTGGTTGGCTCGGAGCTTGACCCCCCTGGCGACGCCTCCAGCGCCGCCCCTGGCGCGCTCCACGCGCCAAGAGGGGTCCCGCGCCGATTCAAGGAATCCCCGCGGACGTCCGAGCGTCTGTTTCTGCAGTGCTGTCTCCTTCTTGAGCAGGGACCGACCGTCCCGGCATTCCCATAGGCCTACCACGAAATGTTCTAAGAACCCACAAATGTTCTAAAAAAGACGATGTTCTTATAACATAAGCCCGATGTGGTAAAGCAAGACAGACTCAGCCACAAATGTTCTAAAAACATTTCGTGCAAACCACAAAGGGTTGTTAGAGCATTATTTGGTGGGCCTCTAGGCGAGCCAGGACGCTTCGCCACCGCTTGATTTTCGGCAACAGTTCGCAATCTTGGGCCTCTGCGGGCGCCTGCTCGGGACCACAGGCCCGGGGCCGTACAGACGAACACGGTGTGGGACGGAATACAAGCCCCACAGAACCAAGAGGTCGGGAGGCCAGAGTCTCAAAGCAATCGGAGCTCGAGGATGGATTGTCAGGGGGCATCCTGTTCTGCTCCTGAGCCTGCAGGAATCGTCTCTTCGCCACTTCCTTCAAGATTCGGGCCAGATCGCACCCCACCAGGACGGGTCGGAGGTGGAAGCGGCCGGGGGTATGCGCTGCATGGGCCCCTTGGAAAATCTCTCGAGATGGGGAGGGGGGGGCAACAACAAATCCGCTCACGAGCGGTCTACGGGCCCCTCCCAGAGGTCGAAACTGCCTGGTTCTTCGGGCCCGGAGCCCATGCAAGTCACCTCGGCCCCCCCAGCCGTCTCGTGAGCGTTTTCGCATTCGGCGTCTCGACACTGGTCGAAGCGGGGGCGGGGGGGGGAAGGGCGGGGGAGTCTGGCTCCAGACCTTGGCTTACGGCGGCCGTTTGCAGCAATGCGTCCTGCGGAGGAGACCCCACCGGCTTGAAACGGGAGCCAAAAACAGCCAAGATGCACCCCATTGGGGGGGGGAGAGGGGCGGGGGATGCGAGGGCCCGCGCCGATCGGCAAAACAAGGAAGAAGAAAACGATCACCTCCAGGGCCTGAGGTCTCTGTTGCACCGCCAGGCCCCTGCCAGGCCAACCACGAGAGCCCGAGCAACATCCGTGAGGCCTCGGACCCACCACCCGCCGCCTCCGAAAAAGGGCAGCCGCCCTGCCGCACCGCGTTGACAACAGCACCCCGACAGACGACAGCGGCGAGGCGAGAAGGGCCGGCGGAAGGAGCGAAGCGATGACTAAGAGCACGATCACATCCAGGACCCGAGGTCTCTGTTGAACCGCCAGGCGTCTCTGGGCGCCACGAGGCCTCGCGAGACGGCCTGCCTCTCCGGGCGCTCGGCCTTTGTGCCACCGTCTCGGGCTCCGTGCTTGGTCGAGTATCATTGTCTGGTGCTCCTGGGCCCAGGAAAAGCCCCAAAGGCCTCCACCGAGGAACTGATCCGGCATCGGAAAACAGTCAAACTCAGCCATGGGTGAGGGTTGGGTTCTAGGAGTGATCCGAAATCCAGCGGCTCGATATCTGCAAGACACGGCCCGAAGAGCAAGGTTCACCCAAAGGGGGCCACGCTGCGCAAGGAATCGCGGAAATGGAGTCCGCAAGAGGACCAGACACAAGGGAATTGGTCTCTCCTCCGCCTGCCGATAGACGTCGCCGAAGCGAATGAGAGCATGGGGCGCAATCGATCGTGAGCTCCACCCGGCGTTGCGGGTGGGAGACTGCGCGAGGCAGGGGAGCATGCGGTGAAAACACAACACACTTTGGTGGAGATGGCTGGCGAAGCGCAGGAAGCAGCACACACACAAACACGCACACACGGACTGACAACAAATACACCCTTGCAGCAGAACACCCTAAACGGCATAGTCGCACCATGTCACAACATCGCAATATGCTGTGCGTGGTACGCGCGAGAACCCATGCGGGAGGCCACACGGCACAACGCTCGGGAGACCACACCACGGGAGGCCACGGGAGACCACTGCGGACCGAGACTCCCGACGCTTCCAGACACAGCGAATCCCCAACCGGCTTCTCAGACCAACGGTGCAGGACCACCACGACAGCCCAGGGGAGGGCAATCCATCTATCCAAGGGCGCGGACGGCCCACGTCTTCGGCGCGGCTCCCAGAAGGACGCGTGTAATGTCCGTCCCTGAGCTATTCGCCCTCGTCGTCGCTTCTGGTGCTGTGAGGAAACCAAAAAAACATCCTTCGGACATCATGAGCAGTGCGTTGGGGCCTCTCCAGGTGGGAGAGAGGCGCCGCCGGATGCGGCAAGTCATCCCGCCTGCGTGTCCGCGTCCGTGCTGCCCTGGAAGCGGCGGCCGTCGCCTGCCCATGGGCCCCAGATACTCTGCTTGCGATCGGCCTCGGACACAACATTTCGTGATACCCACTTTGCCATCATCGCTTCCATTCCACGGGACGCGACCTATTAGAACGTATGCTGCGAACCAGGAATTCGCGCGGAACTCCGAACGGTTGCGTTTATGGAATGTCTTCCTGTTTGTTGCCCCCTAAGCCACAAACCCCGACCTGACCATCCAAGATGGCTGAAATCCAGAACCGAGACCATGTTTTAACTTCACCTCCGGCATGAGTCCTGTCAAAGGAGGGCACGTATGTCTAGAGGTAAATGTATTTGAATTGCTCTGGGGCCAGGGAACTCGCTGCGCAGGAGCGAGGGAAGTATTTTGCAAGGGCGCGATAAAAAAAGATAAGCTAAGGAAAGAGGATGTCGAAATGTTGTGCGCTCATGGGCCCCTCTCTGGGTCACCAGAAGGTCTCAGGGGGACATCCCCAGGCGACGCGCGGAAAGAGACAACTTTTGTTGCTGCAAAGCAATGCAAAGACAAGTTTCCGGAAACATTGGCACGCAGGAAAAGTCTGAGAGCGTTCTGGAACGCTCTGAAAACGGACTATCCTTTTCCTGGCCACGTCCGAGCACAACTGTGGCATGCAAACATCGAGCCGAACGCAGTCGACAAAATTCCGGACCAGAATCGAATCTAACCAGCCGCAAACGATATCGAATCGAGACGGTATGATCGAAGATGACCCTGGATAAAGACAAATGAATAAGAGCGAAGGCGCAAAGACATAGAAGTCACATACACACACACACCGCGAGTGGATAACGCACCGAAGGTCTTCAACCAACGACACCAATTAGAGACTTTCGAAATGCAGCGCCAGTAAGGCCACCACAGCGACGGCCACGACACTTACGGTGCTGCAAGAACAATGCGAGGGCGGGGGCGAGGAGGAAGACTGAATTCCGGGGCAGCTCCTGGGAAGCCATTCGGCCAAAGGAAGAAGCAATTGTTCGATCAGATTGCGGAGCTACCTTTTCCGGAGATGGCCACGTCAGGCCAGACCAAAACAGCTTGCCCCAGATTGTAACACAAGGGCTATAGACTGGATGTGTATGACCCGAAGCTCTACCCAAGCCGATGACCAATTCAACCGCCCAGGCGTGGGAGCCTGAGAGGAGGCGAGGTGACCGTTTTTTTCGCCATCGTTCGGGCGTCTATTCCCCTGCATGTTTCGATGTCGTGCGTATATGTTTTCGCGGGGTGGCCCGAAATGCTCCTCGATGGTCCTCGCAGGGGAAAAATGGACACGTCCGAGCGGTGCCAACCGTTCTCCTCCCTGGCAACGGTCATCACTCGGAGGGCAGGGGGGTGGTTGGGCGCGAAGACAAAGGCAACGGCAGTCGCAGCGTGCACCCGCCAGGGTGCGCCCGCGCAAGCGGCGCATCAATTGCCTGTGCGCACCACAACATGTAGGGGCGGAGGGTCCAGGCCATTCCCCCAGTACGGTCGTTGGCGTTACCGCGGGGGGTCTGGGGGGGGGGGGGCGGGCTATTGGAACCTACGAGTAACAAATTCGCGGGGGGGGCGCGTGTAAAACATAGTTCCCCTGTGCGGGCGAATCGCGGGGCGGCGCCCGCCAGATTGACAAGCAACGGCGGCGGCGCCGGTGTTTAGCGCTGACGCCCAACCGCCAGCGAGAATGCGACAGACAGCACAGACTGGGGGACGGGAAATGGGGCGGGAGGCAAAGGCCGCAGAAGGAAGGACCATGAGCCAGGGCGACGCCTGTTCGAAATAATACAAAACTGCTGTCGGCGCTCGCCCCCGTTTCTTAATGCTCTTTTTTATCGAACCGATGCGTTTCCTCTGCCCTGGCCGCAGACACGGGGGCGCCAGCAGCCTCGCGGGCCCGGGAGCAGGGCGGGCTGGAAGAAAGGGGGGCGTGGCCAACCCGGGATTCACCCAGCAGCCCACATTGCTGATTTTCGGAGCGAGTGACCCCTGTCGCCGAAAGCGGCCATGCATCGAGGACTGGCCCCTCGGCACGGCGACCGGAACCAGCGGCGCGCAGCAAGGTTCACAACCCCCTGTTTCCTTCCCCAGGTTTTCGTCCGACCCGAGCAGGGCGGGCAGTCCTCCTCCCCCGTCCTCGACGACGACAACGACGACGATGACGACGACGACGCCAACGAACGACGAATATGAAGGCGAGGGCGAAGACGAGGACGGGAACGATGACGATGACGAGGACGATGAAGAGGAAGACGAGGACGACGACGAGGACGAGGACGGCGGACGGCGGATGGCAGGGCCGCAGGCCGTCCGGTGTAGTCGACGACGACGAAGACGACGATGACGACGACGACGAAGATGAAGACGACGACTGTAACGGCGACGACAGCCGACGACGGAACCGACGACGACGACGCACGCACTGCGGATGCCCTCCCTGCGGGGGGGGGTGCTGCCACGGCCCGCTGCAGTTGACGACGACGACGGGCGGCGGTCGACGACGACTATAACGGCGACGACAGCCGACGACGAAACCGACGACGACGACGCACGCACTGCGGATGCCCTCCCTACGGGTGGGGGTGCTGCCCAGGCCCGCTGCAGTCGAGGACGACGACGGACGGCGGACGACAACGACGACGACGACGACGACGACGACGACGACGGCGACGACGACGACGACGACGACGAGGACGCCGACGACGACGAAGAAAACGACGACGACGACGACGACGACAACAACGACAACAACGACAACAACGACGACGACGACAGCGACGACGACGCACCGCGGACGCCCTATGGGGGAGGCGGTGCTGCGCAAGCAAGCTGTAGTCGACGACGACGACGACGCCTGATATGGGAAAAAATCGCATCGGATGAGTACGACCCCCAAAACAACTTCTATACGAAAAGGCAATCGTTATGAGGCTGTCATGCGGGGGGGTACACGTCCCCTCGGCGGCGCCCGCGACGACCCCCTTGCGCGCTTGATTGGAAAAATGTGTCGCGCCCCGCGTGGCCTATTCATCAGCCCCGGGGTGGTGGGTGGGGTGGGGGGGCACGCATTTGTGAACCACAGAATGACTCTAACGAGCGTTACCTACCCTCGGGAGGGAGAAAGAGAGGAGAAAAAAAATGCTCACAAGAGGACCCTTCGACTATTGACTGGCTGGTTGCCCCCTAGCGTCCCCGCCTGGCCGACCCCCTGCCCGCGCGACAGCCCGACGCCAGGGAGGCTGCCCGACAACCCGGACCCCCGACGCCATGATTCTTGCATACGTCGACCAACGGAGCTCTCGATGAACAAAAAAACTGCACCACCCCATTTACGGCCCCTCTGGGCTTCGCGTATGCCAAGAAATCTGGCATGGGCTTTTGCGTGGTATACACTACGGCGCCCGACGGGCCGTAACGCAACATGCAAGGCCGTAGATGGGGTGATGTCGTTTGATTTCTGGTCGACTCGACCCCTTCTCCTGAACCCGCGTCTCGTCTGGAGTCTTCTGCGACGGTCCCGTTGCACGGCGAGGCCCCCCCGGAACGACTAAAAATCGCCCGTCGTGATGTCTCACGACTGCCCGAAACTGGTAGATCGCACGCTGCTCGCACCCGCGCAAACTTCTCCCACACGCGCGCACGCAGATGCCCGCAACCGCACACGATGAAGTCTCGTCTGGCACCAAAGACAGATCGGGTCCTAATGGAAGCGGGTTCTACGACCTCCCTGAGGTCTGGGCGTTGCACCGTTTCCACTCCCAACGTTTTCGCCCGCATTCGGGACCCTGGAGACCTTTCTTCTTTGAATCGGCGATAGCAGGGGTTATCCGCGGAGGGGGGAAGAAATGGGGGTCCGGCCAATAACCTAAACTTCGCGCTGTGGGCAGCCCTGCATATGCCCGTGCGAACCGGTGCTGCGGCCCCTACAGCTGCTTACGATGCTACCGCGATACTAAGATTGGTGCTGCGACGATACGGCCGCCGTTTCAGGATACCCAGGGATGTCTGGACAGCTCGAATTGGAATACGCGGGATGTGGCTGCTAAGCGTAACCACGAAGTCTTGTGTACACTATCTATAGAACACGCGTGCACCACACTGCCTGTGAGCACTACAAAACATGCGTGCGCCACAACGGTCTTGCACAACACAGGTGCTGCAGCAGCAGAAACTTTCGCGTGCCCCACAGCGCCTGTGTACACCCGGGTGCCTGCGCACACCACAGGAGCAAGGTGCAACACAGCGTATGGCGAACATTTGCGCCACAGCGTTTCCGCGAACCTCCAAGGTCCCGCTGGTGGTGCCCAAATCTGGAAAATCCCCGAGGGCCCGAACGTATCAAATTCAATATGTAAGCTATTGTCCCCTCTCCATGTTGGGTCGACCATGTTTGTGCACACTAAGTTGCCTGTCTGGTATATACCACGACGCACTTGTACAAAAAAACTGCTTGTGTACACCGCAGCGCCTGTCTAGACAACAGTGCCTGTGTATACCACAATGCCAATGTACACGACAGAAGCCGTGTGCACCACAGCGCCTGTGTACACTGCGGTGCTTGTGCACACCACAGGAGCCGCGTGCACCACAGCGCATGGCGAACATTTGTGCCACAGCGCTTCTATGCACCTCCAAGGTCCCACCGGGGCCCAAATCTGGAAAATCCCCAGGGGCCCGGCCCGAACGTATCAAATTCAAGATGTAGGCTAACTGTGGTCAATGTTTTTTCTGGGCCGGGATGCGGTCCCCCCGTTTTTGGCCGACCAGATTTGTGAACACCACAGCGCCTGTCTAGCGTGCGCCAGGACGCCGTTGTACACCACAGCTCCTTGTGTACACCGCAGCGGTTGTTTACACAACAGTGTCTGTGTACACCACAATGCCTGCGTACACTACAGCAGCCGTGTGCACTGCAGCGCCTGTGTACACACCACACACACACACTGATTGTGTACACGACGACGCCTATGTGCACCACGTTTGCTGTTTCAGAGCCATATTCGTGAACCAAAGTGCCTGTGTACACCACAGAACTGCGTACATTTCCAGGGCCCACGGCGGGACCGACCTCCAGAAAATCGCGGGGGGGCCGATCCAATATGTAAGCTATGTGTGATTATTGGTTTTCCTTGCGCAGGGAATGGTCCCGTCTTTGGGGCCCACAGCGCCTGTGTAGACCATAGCGACTGCGTGCACAGCAGCGGATGTGTACACCGCAGCGCCCGTGTACACCACAAGGTGTCGTACACCGCAATGCACGTGCACCAAAGCGTTTCTGTACACCATCATGCCTGGGATGTCTGCATGAATGATATCTGATAATGCAGAAACAAATTGTGCACACCCCACAGCCTGTCTTCACCGTATTGCCTGGTACATCACGGTTTCCGCGTGCACCTGCGTGCACTTGTGCTTGCGCGCACCACAACGCCTGCGTACACAACAGATCCTGCTGCAACAAAAGAGAAAATGCGCGCGCACCAAATCGCCTCGCTGCCTGTGCATAACGCAATGCCTGTGCACGCGCTGCTCACGTGCACCTCCAGATGGCTATGGTCGACGTCCGTCGTCGTCGTCGTCGTCGTCGTTCGTCGTCGTCGTCGTCTGTCGTCGTCTGTCGTCGTCTGTCGTCTGTCGTCGTCGTCGTCGTCTTCGTCGTCGTCGTCGGCGTCGTCGTCTCCCCGTGTCAATCCAAGCCCAAAGATTCGCCAACGTGCATCCAAACACCAGCAAGCTGTGGCGAACACCACCGTACTGTTGAACACGGCGCTCCCTGCGAATTCCCTGCGCCCTCCCCCAGACCTGCACAGCCGGCAAGGTTAGGTTATCCTGGGGGGGGGTAGGGGGGGCGAGCCCGATAACCCAGGTCATCGCCGGACCCTGAAAAAACAATATCCGGGGCCATCACAGATCGATCTGGCTCGGAAGATGCTGTATAAAGATGGTGTCCGAGGCTCTGGTCGTAGCTTTTCGCGATTGTGCCTGTTGTAATTATCTCGCAACGTCGGGTCTCAGGGCTGTGGCTTCCCCAAGACCAGCTCATCCCGCACGGCCGCGGGGCCCGAGGAAGGGCCCACTGGAGCCCGGAAGTTGCGGCAGAACTCCAGGATAAGACGAAGCCAGGACGAAGATCAAATCAGGAATGTATACATCGAACATCTCTGAGATCCCGCGCCACTGGAGGATGTCTCTGGTGCCGCGGCCTTCTCCGAGCGTTCAGGAACGCTCTGAGAGCGTTACGAAACACCCAGGAACGGATTTATCCACGTCCTAGCCCCATTCGGCACATCCTTTTTGTAAGGCTTCTGGTGGCGAACAAAAAACTCCCCCGCAAGATAGTCCCGGCTGGTTCCGCCTCGGAGCCGAAGACCCCGGCGCCGCCTCCAGCGGCGCCCCTGGGGTGCTCCCCGCCCCAGCGTTGGGGTGCTGAGATGACACCGCCCTGGACCAACCCAGAAGGGAGGAAGAGGAGGAGGATGAGGAGGAAGAGGAGGAGGATGAGGAGGGGGAGGAGGGGAAGAGGTGGAGGAGGAAAGGGAGGAGGAGGAGGAGGAGGAGGAGGAAAAGGAGGAGGACGAGGAGGAGGGGGGGAGTTGTAGGAGGAGGATGAGCAGGAGCTGGAGGAAGAGGAGGGACCAGTTTTATCCACCACCGAGAGGAGCAGGGGGCCTGTTGAGGACAGCTGGGGCCACTCGGAGGGACTGCCGAGGCCAGGGGGGCTGCCTGTGCTCGACATGACCGCAGCAGGCGCAGATCACCCCACAACACGGAGGCCACACCGAAGCAGGACCACGAGCCACCAGGCGGGGGCCAGGACCGAGCCCGTTTCTGCCCTTGCCTGGCCCGCTTTTCTTTGTCGGCCTACCCCGCTGCCACGCGGTCCGAATTAGAGTTGCGGCGCTGCCTGTTGAATGCCAAATCTTCTCGGAAAGTGCATGCGGTATGGTTACTCATGCACCACATGGAGCGATGCAGTGCTCGAGTCATATCCAGGGCCACCGTGGGCAAGGCCCGCTCGGGGATCTGCTTTTAGGTCGGGCATGTCCCCCTACAGACGGATTTGAGACGACAAACAAAAAATGGCAAACACATGCTCAGAACATACTCACTCAAAAATGGTAATTAAAAAAAGGTGGGGTTCACTTCGCTCGGGAGCTCCCAAACGGAGTGACCCCCCCCCTCAGAAATCGTGGGGGGCAGGGGTAGGGTTCGCATGTGGCCCCCTACCTGCAGGATCCCGCAAGATCTGGTGCTCTGACTGAACCCCCATTGGAGCCCCGACCCGCACCGCACACGTCACCGCACCGCCGGGGAGCGCGGTGCTGGCCGCTGGGCGGGCTGGCAGAGCACGCGCGAGAGGCACCTGGAGTTGGCCCATCCGGCGGGCCGCGTGCTCAGCCGGCGGGCCCCAGCGCCCGACGCCCCGCGTCCTGCACGAGGACTCAAAGTCTTTCATACCCGCTTGCTGCGCCCCTCTGTGCGAGGCGGGAATGTGTCCATTACCACAGCACGGGGGATCAATCCTCGGGGACCTCGGCAGGCGGTGGATACGAGTATAGCTGCCCCCCCCCAAGGCCCGAAGACGCATGTATCCATATCCACCGCGTGGCGAGGTCCCCGAGGAGGGATCCTCCAGGCGCTGGTCATGGATACAGTCAGACCTGGTAGCAAGGATGCGCGATAAAGAATACAAGCCCATTGCACGCCCGTGTTGAAGCTTTCTCGAGCGCGGCGAGACATCGAAAACAGACAAGGATACACCACAGAAGCACAGATGCAGGGCCTCGGTAGGGTTACCCGTCCTTACCATCGGTCTCGACTGGAAGTCCCCGCCTCGAGCATGTTTCCTCTCAGATCGTTTGTCGCTTTCTGCTGGCCCCAGGGGGGCCGAAGACGGCCCCAAAAGACGGCACCCAGCGGCCGAGCGAGCAGTACACGACGGCCACCAGCACCAGCCGGGACACTCCGCAGGCCGTGTGGGCCCTCTTCTCCCAGAACAACAAGCCCTGCCCTCAGAGACTGGCCAGAATGCGCGCGAGGACCCACATGTCTGGGAAGAGAGGCCTCCCGAGAGACCCCCCCAAAAAGGGCTGAGACACGCAAGAGCGACAACAATCTGCGCCACTTCATGGTTCTTTTGTATTTATCCGAGGGTCGCCTCGGCGGAGGCGGCTGCGGCGGATGCGCCAGCGACCGTCTCCTCGGCCGCGGCGATGCTGAGCGGGCGCCCCCCCGGCAGGATGGCCTCGACGCGCCAGGCTCCCGGGCCCAGCCTGCCCGCGCGGTGCTCGGCCGCGAGCTGGAGGTTGATGTCCCTGAGGCGGGTGGTGGGCGGCGCCCTGATTCTGCAGCCCTCCACCCCGCCTAAGGTCACGAAAATCATCGAGTCGCCATCGAGCGACGCCTGCAGGAGGAGCGCTGGAAGCAGGTGCGCTAAGTAGGTCAGGCCCGCGGGCAGCGCCGGGAGGCCGCACTGACCATGAGCATTGTCGCCACAAGCCGCGGCGGTGCCGTCGCTCCTGAGCAGCACCGCGTGGCACCCTCCAGCGGCGACCTGCGTGTAGGTCAGGCCCGCGGGCAGCGCCGGCAGGTCGCACTGACCAGCTAAATTCCAGCCGCAGGCCGCGGCAATGCCGTCGCTCCTGAGCAGCACCGTGTGGCACCCTCCAGCGGCGACCTGCGCGTAGGTCAGGCCCGCGGGCAGCGCCGGCAGGTCGCACTGATCATCATCATTCGAGCCGCAGGCCGCGGCAATGCCGTCGCTCCTGAGCAGCACCGTGTGGTACCCTCCAGCGGCGACCTGCGTGTAGGTCAGGTCCGCGGGCAGCACCGGCAAGTCGCAACGACCATCAGCATTCCAGCCGCAGGCCGCGGCGGTGCCGTCGCTCCTGAGCAGCACCGTGTGACCCCCCGCAGCGGCGACTTGCGTATAGGTCAGGCCCGCGGGCAGCGCCGGCAGGTCGCACTGATCATCATCATTCAAGCCGCAGGCCGCGGCAATGCCGTCGCTCCTGAGCAGCACCGCGTGGCACCCTCCAGCGGCGACCTGCGTGTAGTAGGTCAGGCCCGCGGGCAGCGCCGGCAGGTCGCACTGATCATCATCATTCAAGCCGCAGGCCGCGGCGGTGCCGTCGCTCCTGAGCAGCACCGTGTGGTACCCTCCAGCGGCGACCTGCGCGTAGGTCAGGCCCGCGGGCAGCGCTGGCAGGTCGACCAGCAAAATTCCGGCCGCAGGTAGTGGCGGTGCCGTCGCTCCTGAGCAGCACCGTGTGGTATATTCCAGCGGCCAGCATCTGCAGAAGAGCCCGGCGGGGGCCGCCCGATCCCCAGGGCGAGGCGCGGCGTGGGCGGGACTGGCTTGAGCCAAAATTGCTAAGGACCACTTCATGGTGCGCAACATTAGCAATAAAAGGATCCCTGACCCTTTGAAGATGGACCTGGAGCTGAGTTAAGAGGCCCAAACATCAGGATAGAGGGGGTCCTGTTCTGCAGATGTATCGACGCAAACCACCCCGATTGATTCTAAATGCAAATACGGGGACCAAAGTGAGGCCACGTCTTCATTGAAAAATTAGCGTTAGCTTTTTGTCCCCTTAATTGTTTGACTGTTTTTTGAATATGCCTCCTGTAAAGAGACACGCCGGGCGCGACGAGATTGGGGATCCTCGCGCCCTCACACCCTCGCGTCCGCGAGCCTTGCAGAAGAGCCCTCTCTCTCCGTCCCGGAGCGCAACGCGCCAAACGTGGCTCACTCTTCGGGCCCTCGGGGATGACCCAGGAAGCCCTGGCAACAAAAGACCTCCATCATCAGACCCCGACCCCCGATCAACGAGCGAGACTTAAGAGGCAACTACTGGGAGGCTTTCGTCGGAAAGATTAAAGAAACTTAAGCCCCATTGGGGGGCTGTTATGCAGGAAAGGGCCTCGGATGAAGCCGGATTGAGCGGGATCAAGCAGGATCAAGCGGGATTCAGCCGGATTTCGGGCAACCACTGAATTTGACCTCCCAGGAGTTGCATCCGAACGAGACGCTGCAAGCCCGCGAGAAGCCCCCCCCCCACCCCGCCCTCCGAGGTCGTGGTCGTACACTCCACCTCGCCGGGCGCCGCCCCGATCTCGACCAGCGCAGAGCGCGCGCGCGATCGGGGGGCAGCCGTGCCAGAGAGGGGGCGGGCAGGCGCGAAGGGGCCCTGGGGCACACAAAGAAACACACACGGAGAAAAGAATGCCTTACAAAATCCCGTGGTTTCTGGGTTTTTGTATTCCCCCCCCCAATCCCCAGATGTTCCCGTATTTTCCTGGGAATCGACGATGGATTGTGTCTGTGTGTGTTTGTTCCCCTCCTGAAGGTGCGGAGGGGGGCGCGGCCGTCTGGAGGGGCGGCGGCCTCCCTGGCACGGGGGCGGCCAGCCCACAGAGGGCGCGGAGGAAGGGGGAACGGAGGGGGGGAAGCGGGGGGGAGGAGGGGAGGAGCAGCGCGGAGGGCAGGAGGGTTAGGAGGCAACTACTGGGAGGTTTTTCGTCGGAAAGAGTAAGGAGGATGAAGTCCCATTTGGGAGCTATTACGCCGGAAAGGGCCTCGGATTATACGGGATTAAGCCAGATTAAGCGGGATTAAGCCAGATTCAGCCGGATTTCGGACCAGTGCAAAATCAGAATTTGACCTCCCAGGAGTTGCACCCCAAGGAGTGGTGGTGGGACGGTGACATGGGACCTCACCCCAAGGAGAGGGAGGAGGGGGAGCGAAGGGAGCCAGGTCGAAAAGGGGAGCGAATGAGAGGTCCCTCCGGGCGAGCGCGAGACGCTCGCGCGCAGCCCCGCCTCCGACGATTTGGCGGAGGGACAGCTGCGCGGGCGGCGCCAAGGCGGGAGCGGAATTCCAGGGAACCCTGGTGCGGCGGTACGACGGAAACACAAGTCAGCCGGTTCCCGGGCGGCCAAACTTTCGATGGGAGCGGCGGAGAGGGCAACACGCGCCACGCTGAAACAGCACTGCCGCTTTCGCGCACACACGCGCACACACGCACACACACACACACACACACACACACACACACACACACACACTGCACGGCGCTTGGTCAATGGCAATATTTCGCCCACTCACTCGCGGGGCCCTGCTGCCGCGCAATTCGGCGAGCAGAAGATGCAAAACAGCCTCGAGCCTAGCCCGATCCCTAAGATTGAAACGCCCACATGAGATGACATCCTTAGAGATGCGCCCTCAGAAACAGAGGGGTCCCTTAAGGTCGGCATCGAGGTAAAACTCTTGGGATCGGGATATCTTTCAGGCAGGTAACATGCGCCGAGCCTGCGCGGGACCGCCACTTCCAAACGAAACGTGCACGGAACTTGGGCGTGGGCGACACGGCATCCGCTCGGGCGGGGCCCTACACCTGGCAAACGACGCATATGCGCCGCGCGGACGCTGGAACGCAGCTTACAGGGCGGAATCTGCGCGGCACCAACGGGAAAACTGAATGTTCGTCCGCTCGCGCGACGACGAACTGGCGCGTCGCGCCAAAGCGGGAACTCCACTCTCAGAACAGAAAAAGCGCGGCGCCGAGGCGAGACCGTCACTCTGCCCGTTCGCTGTGCGCCGCGTCCCCATCCCGCCACAGACTTTTGCAACGTCGACGCGACAGCGTCCGTGTTGAGCAGGAGCACGTCGACTGTGCACTGCCTCGGGCAGGTCTGATGGAGCCAGCCCGGTGCGGTCGTTATCGGGTGGTTAGGTCGCAGGGTCTCTAGGAGCAAGGAATGTGGATGAGAGGGAGACGAGGATGAAGGGGAATTGGGACACACAAATAAATACACACAAATGAAAATATCCTCCATATTTTCCCATAGTTTCCGGGTTTCTGTCTTCCCCCCCTCTTCCCGTATTTTCCCATGTTTTCTGGGAATCGCCGATTAGTTGTGTCTGTGTGTTTTTTCCCCTCCTGAGAGGAGGCGGAGGCAATCCAGACACACCCATCGAGTCAGCGGGCCCCGCCACCTCCCGCAAACACACCTCCCGAACATCAGATCCTATAATTACCGGCCTAACTTGATGTTTTGGGAGCGGCAAAGAGGAGGGTGTCCAAGAGGGGGGGGTGCAAATCATGACCGGCGGCATGTGCGCGGCCCAGCGGGGGGGCCAGGGACGTAATGAAGTAAGAAGAGGCGCCATGAGATCTGGGGAGATATCATGGCCCCCGCCATGAAATCCACCCCCCACTAGTCATCACCCCCCTCTTTTCCGCCCCCGAATGTTGGGACTGGAGCGCATTCCCACAAGGCTTCCGCGCGCGAGGCCGCCCCCGACGACCTCGGGTCGCGCACGGATGGCGGCGGAGCTTCCAGGACGTCCTGGCGCGGCGCTGTGGCGAACAAGAACAACTGTAACTGTCTCTCGCGCGGGCACCTTGTGCGAATATCGGGCCGGGCGAAAGGGGGGGATAGCAAAGGGGGGGTTTGAGAATCAGCTCGCGTAGCTGATTTTCCCGGCGCCTCCCGGCGCCGAAGACGGCCATGTATCGAGGAATGAGCCCCTCGGTGGGGCCGAAACCAGCTGCAGGCAGCAGATTTCGTAACCCCCCCCCTTTCCCAATCCCCCCCTTTCGTGCGGCCCGAGAACAGAGGAGACGACGCCCAACCGTGCGCCGCGCTGGCGCAGCACTGCCTGCCGTGCTCGCCATCATCTGCGCGGCGAGATCGGGCGAGAGCAGACAGCTCGCCCGCGAGCGCGCGCGGCGCGGGGCCCCGCGGCTCGGCGAGCGACCTGCGAGCGCCGCGCCCGGGCGGAAGCGACGCTCTGGCGCGACGCCTGCGCGGAGCCTGGACGAGGGCGGCGACATGTCTTATTCGCTCGCCGGGGGCTCCGCCTTCGAGCGGAGAGCACGCGCCACGCTCGAAAACGGGAGCGCCACGCCCACGCGGCATCTCAGAGGGCGCCCTGGGCGGGAGCCGCAATTCGTCCGCGTCCGCGCGATACCGCTGTCGATCATGTGGCGAAGCGAACATGCGCGCTGCGCATTCGCGGGAGCTCAATTCTCACACAGAACGTCGCCGAGACCAAAGCGACATTACGCCCTGCTGCGCGCGATGTGCTCCGCGTCAGAGTCCTGCCATTATTACCTCTCCACCAGTCCTGCCCCTTATTACCTCTGCAACGGCCACGTCGAGAAAGAAGACATGGACTTTGCATTTTGGCGTGGCGAGTTGGATGCAGCCCCACACTGATGTGAGGGTGCCCAGGCACACACACAAATAAATAAATACACAAGAATCCCAGGATTCCACATATTTTTTGGAGTTCGGTCTTCCCCCCCCACTTTCCGTAGTTTCCGCATTTTCTGGGGAATCGCAAATTTCGAAAATTAATTGTGTCTGTGTGTTTTCCCCTCCTGATGATGGGGCGGCGATCGGCTGGTCGTACGGCAGAGCGGGATGGCACAGTCGAAACATCGCCACGTACATGAAACAGGAGCCCCTTCGCCGAAGGCCCCGGCCCGAGGCCCCAAAAAGGCACCAACGACGGAGGACACTGCGGGGCTCGAAGGAGGAAGTCACATAAACATAAACTTTTGGCGCTCCGCACGGACCTCTTAGATCCACGCTGGGCCCCCCTGGCTGCGCCTCCGGCGCCGCCCCTGGCGTGCTCCGCGCGCCAGGGAGGGGGGTCCAGCGCGGATCCAAGAAATAAGCGCGGAGCGCCAAAAGTTCATGTTTATGTGGTTACTTCTTCTTCTAAGGGTGAGACCAAGCATGAAGAAAATCAGGTTCCCCTTCCAAAGTTAGGGTTGTTCTTGTCCTACTTGCCAGCTGTGCGAGTAAGGATCTGAACATGAAGCACAGAGAGGAGAGGAGGGAAGGGGGTCTCCCACACCCTGCAGGATCCAGACCTTTTTGGAAGGCCAGCCCAACAGAACTCCCTCACCCTGTATCGCCTGGAGGACCGCCACGTCGGAAAGGGATCCCTCTCCCCCGGTTTCCTGCTGCCCTCCCCCTCCTCATCCGTCTTCTCCGTCTCCTCCTCCTCCTCCTCCTCCTCCTCCTCCTCCTCACCACAATCAAGCGTCAGACTCATTTTCCCCTTCCTCCTCGACTTCCACTTCCCCCGCCTCCTCCGCGCCCCATTCTGGAGGATTTCAACGTTTACCACGGGAGGGGGGGATGCGCCTTGCCGAAATGCCCTCCCTTCTGCAAGGAGCGACCGCAACCTGTGATCATTTGTTATAAACAGGACGCGACATCATCTTCGAGCAAACACTGTTCTCAGAAGCAGGAACAAGCCTCAAAAACGCAATCAGAACCAGAGGAGGCTGTGTTCTGCCCCCCTCAGGTGTCCAAGATGGTTACGTTGCAGAGCTTGGCGGCTCTTCCCTGGAAAGAGCAGTGGCGGTGCACAATTGAGGGATTGATAGGCTTTGTTTAAGGACGTATTGGGGGGGTGATGGACAGCGGCCAATCCCCCACGCCCCAACATGCATTCTGACTATGGCAAAACATGCGCTACACATACTCAACTGGCAGTTGGCATCTGCTTTATTATGACAGGCCAAACAAGACGCCTGCTCACTGATTGTTGGGGCCAAACCGTACGCGACCTTGTAGACACAAGACCAAACACCAGAACAACACCCCCTCCTCCTCCTGTGATCCTCCTTGTTCTCCGCCTCTTCCCCATCCTCCTACTCCTCCTCTTCTCCCGCCTGCTTATCCACTCCCATACGTTATCTCTGATCCACATACCTTCCTCCCCTTATCCCAAACAGTCCGCTCAGGTTCCCTCGAGTGCGGCTGTACTATCGCCGATGTACGGGCAAACAGACAGCCTGGTCACAGGACGGAATGTGCCACGTTGAGTACCAGCGCACGATCTGGACGGGATGTATGGTTCGACCAAGTCTGCCCTTGATCGCGATAGATTCGCCAAGCTCGGATATGATGGGATCGCGGTTCACCTAGGACTTCTCAGGGTCCGCCGCTCCACATGATCCGCCGAGCCCTGCTAGGACCTCCACATGGAGCCTCCCGGACGACCAGGAGATCGTCGGCAAGCAGACCGACGCCCTCGATGCCCAGTACCTGCGGCCATGGGACAGGGACCACCAGGAGGCGAGGCGAGCGGAAGACCTTCCGACGGCTCCGGCGACAGGTAAAACAGGGCTAGGATCGGGATACATCGCTCCAGAGCGTTCCGGAGCGCTCTCAGAGCGTTCCGGAACGCTCTGGAGCGGCCGCGGCGCCCAATACATCCTCCAAACTCGCCGATTATCAGAGATTTCGAGTTATCCCGATCCGATTTTGTCCCGATCTTCGCGTCGTTGTAAGGACACCTTCGGAGGACGCAACGGCACGAGACGCCCGACGCCGTGCTCGGCTCCACCAGGATCGGCCGCCCTCTTTCGGCGGTGGACACACCTCCCTTTAGTACAGTCGAGGCGTTGACCTGAGGAACCCTAAATAAGGAACGAGGCCCCTTTTTTTTCCATACCTTAAACTTCGATTTCCTATCGAAAACATAAGGAACATCTGAGGCAAGCTGTGAAACACGTAAGGAACGCGGAGCCCCTCCCCAACGAAAAGGGTTCCTCCTCCAGGGCCCCGACTGTACACCTCCCCTTAGTGAAAACGGCCTGGGACCGAAACCGACGGGCCTGGACCCGCAAGAACGACGGCCGCGACGCCCTCGCGCGAACGGAGAACAGCCAAATCGCGAATCGACGCGTCGGGGTGGGAGGTCTTGTCCACCCCCTCTGCGCACCCCGACCCCCGAGCTCGGCGCTCCCACGCCGCCCCCCGGGAGCGAAGGAGGAACGCACCTGGCCCTGGCCCCACAGCGCGCGCAGGGCGCCTGCTTCCCCGCCCGCGCGGGCGCCCAGAGCGGGACGGCAGGCCCCCGGCCCATCGAAGTGGGGCCACGGGGTCCCCATCCTTGCCTCCTTCCTTGCCTCCTCCGCCCGCGCGGGCGCCCAGAGCGGAACTGCACGCCCCCGGCCCATCGAAGTGGGGCCACGGGGTCCCCATCCTTGCCTCCTTCCCTGCCTCCTCCTTTTTCCCTGCCACAAGGCGCACATGCAGCATCACCGCGCAAATCACCTCCACCGTGCGCTGCTCAGCTCGGGAAGCCCGTTGGTTGTACTGTGCGATCGGTATTGCCTGGTGTGTCTTGCTGTGATGTCAATAGCTCAGCGCCTCATCGTCACCCATCCAGGGGTCCGTCTGGGCCGATTCTGAAAGCTGCGCCCAGCCGTGGCAACGAGAACCGCATGTTGGCTGTGCATGCCGCTGGGTCGAAGATGGCTGAAGACCCCCACTGGCGGGACTGGTCTCAACACTGCGACCACGTCTGCACCCATCCTCGCCAACCGATGCGAAGCGGGGGTAAGGATTGGGTGTCGCAACGTGTTCGACGAACTCCGCGCCCCACCCCGCCGCCCATCTAGTTGCTCGAATTGTTGATCGGCGACGGTAGGACTTCGGAAGCGACGGTAGGGCTTCGGATTTCGCCACCGATCCGAACGGAAGACGCTGACGCCGAAGGTCGGAACCGACACGTCTCAGAACGCTCCGGAAGCGCGGGAAGAAGTGCCAATGGCGGCGGCCCCGCTGCCGGTGGAGCGAGCACACAGTCGAGACCACCACGACGTCAGAGCGAATCCAGAAATGGCGACGTGACTGGGTCCTCACAGTAGGCTATGGAAGGCGAAAGCGAGGCAACGGTAGCGGTATCGGTACATGTTGCTCCTCTCTGGGAGAAGCACGGGGGGTGGCAGCCAAGAGTGATGCGAGGCAATGAAGAGCGTTGGTGCGCTTGGCCCCAAACGGCCGCAGGCCACGCTCCGGCGAACCTCACCTCCTCACTACCTATAAGACAAAATCCAAACATAAATCGTTTTAAACTTAGCCTGGCGAACAAAACCTAACCGTGTGCAATTGTGAATACCGCGTTTATGGGTGTCGCCTTCGGTGGGGTTCCCTCTGGGGGCACGAAATTCTTTAATGGGTGGGGGAGACGCATGCGAGCTGCGCCATTGGGACCCTCGGTGGAACTCCGGTAAGGGGACGAAAAGTGGAACCCCCTCGTCGTCGACACCACGTTCGCCCCCCATCTTTCCCCCGATTCTAAATTGGGCTCCAGCGTGGTGGAGGCCCCGGGGGCACCCTTTTTTATCCTTTTCTAGCCTGCGCTCTTGATCGTCTGGGAACAATTTCGAATGTGGGGAGGGGGAGGGGGCAGAGTCAAGGGTTCCACTTTTTTGTCCATCTACGGTCCGTTTGGTTTTGCGCGGAAAAACCACAGTGCGCCACTGTCGCAATTCCATATCGGCGTCGGTGGGGCCATCACCACCGTACTCTGCATCGTCGTGCTCGTCATCGATATCCACGTCGCCTTCGTCATCGTCGCCAACGTCATATTCAAAATCATCAGCACCATCGCCACCGTCGCCATCATCATCATCGGCAAGATGGAATTGCCGTTTCACGGGCTACGGTGGCACGGCGAAGCCATAGGGAACGCGACTATCTTCACAACGGAATCGACGAGACGTGCTCGAAACTGTCGGCTTGCACTCGTCCGCCTCTGGCGTGGCGGTGTCACTTGCAAGCCGAAAAGACGATATGTACCGTGGAATCGGCGACCCGTGCGCGAAACTGCCGTCTTGTCCTCTGCCCCTGGCGTGGCGGTGCCACACGCAGGCCACGAATGACGCGCTCTTCTGTGAATCCGCGGCCTCGCTAAGGCCCCGCAAGCGTCTGCGGCATTTCCTAACTGCGTCCATGGGGCTTTCGAACCGAATCCAGCAAGACGCGCGAGAGAGATTCCGAGCTGCGCCCAGAAAGCGCGCGACGAAGAGCTTCCGAACCGCATCCAACAAAACGCGCGACAGAGATTCCGAGCTGCGCCCATCAAACTCGCGACCAGGGGGTTTCGAACCGCATCTAGCCAAACGCGCGACAGAGATTCTGAGCTGCGCCCACGAAGCGCGCGACGAGGAGCCTTCGAACCGAAACCAACAAAATGCGCGACGGGGGGGTGGGCGCATGGCGCCAGCCCAGCCGCGGCGGACGGGATGGAGCTCTCGCTGGCGCTCCTCCGGCGACGGCATCGGCCTCGCCACCGCCGGGCTGCCTTGGAATTCGCTCTCGTTCTGAAAGGCGAAAGGAAAGACGGACGGGCCGCGCCGCGGGAAGTCCGGGTTTCGCGCGCCAGGCGGCAGCGGGACCGTCCACTTCCTTGTCGCGAACCGATCGAGCATCCCCCGGTTGCAGTCCACCATCTCCTGCGGGCCCACGGAATGGCAACACAGGAGGCGCCGCGCCGCGTAGAACGTGGGCGAAGTGTTTCTGGCTGCAGCGGCTTCGCCCCGCAGCAACGGACGGCGAATCTATCGCTGACCAGCTGGGCCAGGAGGTCTTCCCAGGCAACTGCGCGCGTCGAGCATGCGAACTCCTCCCTAAACAATACCTCTGCACCATGAATCCCTTCCAACGGGAAGGAGCTGCCCCATTGCGGCATGGCACTGGTCCCAAAAATGTCGTCTGACGGCTCCAGGACCATCGACTTCCCCAGTCCGGGTCGACCTATGATTGCCATGTTCACGCTGCGCGTGGCCCCCAGGACGATCGCTCGATAGAAGTCGCGGCTGAACGCCTATTCGGGCACTCGCCGTTGTCCTGCAGCGCGGAGAGCGCCCCCAGGATCCACGCGCCGGTGCAAGAGCAGAGGGACTTCCCTGCCACCTGGCGACGCCTGCCCGAGCGGTCCGCCTCGGCGGCGGCCAGCGCCCGCGGCGCGTCGCGCACGGCCCGCGCCGCGTCGAGCAACTCCTGCAAGCCGACGCCCGCGACGGAGCAGGACGCGGCCAGCGAACTGTCGCCGTCGTTCGCCAGGTCCTGCGCGCGCGCGGAAGGCCAGCTCGGCGCGGATTCCAATCCGCTGTGCCCCGTTGTACAAGTCGCCAGCGCGGCACCTCGCCTCCGCCCGCCCGTCGCCCCGAGACGCGCCGCGTCTCTGCTGGCCGCGGTTTGCGCGTTCCGCGCGGGCGCTGGCATGCAGGAGTCGTTGGAGAGGATCGCCTTGCGGGTGTCGCGGCGACAAGCGCGGGCCCGGGTCGAGCCACGACAAGGGCATTGTCGGCGCGGGGCGCCGGAGATAGGCCCGCATCGCGGCGCGCCCCTCGCGGCAAGCGCAGCGCAGCTTCACGCGGCACTTCGCCAAGCTTGCGTTGGCCACGACGCGCAGGCAGCGCCTCGTCGAGCAGTAGGCGACGAAGTGCGCGCGCAGCTACCTCCCTTGCTCTCGCTGGGAGTTGCGGCGCCGCTCGCGCGCGACAGTACCGATCGCGAGAGTGGACTTCGCGGGGTTCGCTCTCTCTGGGTAGGCCACGCGGTAGCACTGGCGCACGTGGTCCCGAAGCTCCTCGCGAGACAGCGCGGCGTTTGCCGGTGGTCTGGGTTTCCAGTCCTAACGCGAACCCAGTGGACATGCCCCCGCCGCGCGTCGTCGCCCATAGGCAGCGAGCTCCTGCCAACCCTCGTCCGCGATGGCCTCGCAAGCCGCAGAATTGAGGACATGGGCGGCAGGCGCGGGCCGCTTGCCCCGCAGATGCCCGCGCAGAGCGACATCTCGGGCAACGCTCATGGCCAGCGCTTGGGCCAGAGCGGCCGCGGCCGAGACTGCGATGGCCCGATCGCCACCTGGGCCGCGGCGCCCGCGGCGACCAGAGTGGCGCCCGCCGTTGAAAGTGTGCCGCCCGTGGAGCCTGTGGAAGGGAGAAGAATCCCTCCCCTCTCTCTTATCCTTCCTCACGGGCTCTACGGAGGCTGCATTTTTCACGGCGGGCGCCGCTCCGGGCGCGACGGACGCCGCGGCCCTGGTGGCGGAGGCGCCCCAGCGGAGCGCGGACGCACGACGCGCCAAACCCTTGCCACCGAGGCCAGACGGGGATATTCGAACCGCGCCCAGCAAAACTCGCGACGATTGGCTTCCGAAGTGAATCCGCAAATACTCGCGACGCGGGCGTTTAGAAGACGCCGCCAGCCCAGCCTTGACGAACGGCGCGCATCGAACGCTGGCGCTC